GGCAAGCAGCACAGCCCCAAGGCAAACAGGAGAGGCATGGAAGCAGGCACCTCCCAGCCCTGCCTCACCACCCAGTCAGGCCTGGCCTCCAGCACAAGCAGCCCAAACCACATAAGAAGGGCCAGGAGGCACTTATACAATCCCAGACTAATGAGATTAATTAGCTGTTGGAAATTGCAAATCAGAATCGGGTCCTCTAGTTTAGCCGACAACAAGGCTAAGACAAATCATCATAATGCTATTGAACACCACTGCCTTGGATCCTTATAGTTAGTAAGAACAGAGAGAATAAACACTCTGGAGTCAGGAGGTGGTTACTCACCGTCAGTGTTGCGAGGCGTTTTATACCTGTCTCCATTTCCTTTACTAGAGTTTCTTAATTTAAAAACCTTTAAATCATTTTCATGGATATTACTTCTGAGCACTCCATAGCACAAAATGATTACAAACCACAAAAGAAAGGATGAAGGCTTCTTTTTTAGCAGCTAGCGGGCTGCTGTGTTTATGGAGGAAAGCATTCATAATGTAAAGTGCTGTAGAAAAACAATTTGTTCATATCATGGCCCCTGTCGCATGCTTTTCCAGCATCTTTGAGTTATGATTAATTCAATAACCACTTTTAGTATTAAACATTTAACAATCAACCCAAATGTAAGTCGATGGCACCCTCTTGTGTTCAACAGAAATATTACAGTTTAGCGGATTTGGAATCTTCAGACTCAGTGTGTTGTTATTCAGGAAAAATCTGTTGAAAACAAATTCATCCATTAAGTTGGGATTCACACCTTTTGTGTTATTCTAATACTCTGCTTTATTATGAAGATCACAAGTACAACATTAAATAGCTAAGAATAAAGGATTAAGCTTGCACTTGGTGCTCATAAGCTCTGTTCTGTAATGATGCAGCATGTCACAAGAATCTGCTGGACACACGCCTTACCTTAAAATTCAAGAAAAAAAACGAAAATCAAGAAGCACAAACACAAACATGTCAATGAGGAAGATTAGTAGACAAAGTAAAAACGTGACTGTATCATCAGAGAGCCAGGGTGAGATTACCCTAATTAGATTCCCAGTAACGAACATCCCGTGACTTAGTGATGTGCCTAAGGTTATCCGGTGTCTCAGATTCTGATCTGTGAATGGAGATAACTTCCTGGGCACGCAGGCTGACTTCACTGCTGTTCAGAGTATGCTCAGATACGTCAGGCATGCCCTGCTAGGGGATACACACAGAAGTCAAAATGCTGATTCATTGTTTACAGCTCTATTAATTTCTTGGACTCGTCCTCTTCTATTCTAAGCCACAATGTTACTGCTGGGTATTAGGAAAAAAGGAAACATGCTCACAAGTGAATTCCTGAGTGAGATTAATCTAATACAACAAAGGTGAGCCCAGGCACAAGGAGGTATGGAAAAATGGGATAAGAGCTGACGACTTTCTTGAGTTAGGGATACTAACCTTTACACACCTATTACTACAGGAAAAAACCATAGATGTTAAGTATGACTGATGCCCTAGTCTGCTTTACATTCCACTCTGTATCCAACAATCTCTTTATCCAGGAGTTCAATGACATGCATAGATACAACAACTCGAGATAGTCCTCCCCTGATTAACCCTCAAACCCTCTGTTGTTTACCACTTTCCAAAAGAAACACCTAGCTAGCTAGCATCCTCTCAACTTTCAAATGTAAAGAGATTTGGATGACCTAAAATTGTTTCAATAAAACGCAGTAGTAGTACAAAACCGTTTCAGATGAATTGTTACCAAAATATCCCTTCCAGTCCCAACCATGAAAGACTTGGGTACCGGTACTTGGGAATTGGCTGGGATAATTTTTTTCATAGTAGCTTGTCTGGGGCTATGTTTAGAACTTGTCATGAAAAGAGTGTTTATAACACACCAGTGGTTCAGTTACTGTTCACGCAGCACTGCGGCCTTTTCTGTTTCTCCCTGCCCGTGAGGAGGCTGGGCATGCACGAGGAGTTGGGACAGGACACAGGCCAGACAGCTGACCCCAACAGACCAGAGGGATATCCCAGACCCTACGGCCTTGTGCTCAGCAATAAAAGCTGGGGGAAGAAGGAGGAAGTGGGGCTGTTCAGAGTGACGGCGTTTGTCTTTCCAAGTAACCATTATGTGTGATGGAGGCCTGCTGTCCTGAGAATGGCTGAACACCTGCCTGCCCATGGCACAGCCATTTAGAGACACAGAAGCCCTAGCTGGAAGAAATGATCACAGCATCACAGGATGGGCTGGGTTGGAAATGGACCTTAAAGCCCATCCAGTTCCAACCCCCCTGCCATGGGCAGGGACACCTTCCACTAGACCAGGTTGCTCAAAGCCTCATCCAGCCTGGCCTTCAACTTTTCCAGGGATGGGCCATCCACAGCTTCTCTGGGCAACCTGTTCCAGTGCCTCACCACCCTCTCCAGGAAGAATTTCTTCCTGATATCCAGTCTAAACCTCCCCACTTTATATTTAAACCCCTTACCCCTTGTCCTGTCACTACAAAATAATCAAATAAGACTTCTTGTATTCATCTTCACAAACTGCAGTTACTATTTTATGTTCCATTTCAGAGTAAAGAAAGTGAAACACGAAGATGCTTATTTCAACCAAAAAGGGAAGCCAGGTGTAAGAAGGGTGTTTCACCATTCACTCCAGCTAGCACAAGAGACTCCAGAGCGACAATAAAACAAGAGCTCCGAAGAAAGGGTGCTTGTGTGAAAGACAGCGTGAGGGAGAGAAGAATTCTTGAACATGCAATAAATGACACTCGACAGCACTTGTCAGAAAATATTTTAATTTTAACAAAAGCCCAGCATCATCAGTCTCGCATATCAGAAGTTACGGAGTGACAGGTAATGCATTCAGGTGTCCCCATGGAAATGATCAAGTCCATACCACAGAATCATTTGTTTCCACAATTGTTATGCCTTATATAAAAATATTTTCCAATTCCATATTTAATGTCAATGTTATCTGTTCAATATGAACTGCTTCCATATTATAAAGTTATTTTGATCCCAAATTAATTTTCAAATAGTAGAACAGAATGTGTTTGATACAGTAGCAAATACTTTTTTTACCACTTGCGGAGAACAAAAACTTGGTAAGTTACCTCAAAATGCTTTCACGCATCATTCCAGTACTTGATAAAAGTGGTGATATAACAACAACATTAAGATTTAGAGATGATTTGATACAACTAATTCCACGATCCTATATATGGAACTGCCCCTAAGGGGTCTCAATTCTCACACTCTTTACTCTGTCGGCCAGGTAATATTCGCTCATTTTAAAATTCAACTTAACTGTTCGTAACCTCTTCTGGATATTTGCAAACTTAGCACATGGGAGATGAGACAGGATATAAAGAGGTGTTAATTTTTTTTTTTGTGGTGGTGGTGATGTGTAGCTTATTTTAAACAGAGAATTAATTACGCATACCTCTCATTAATTTTCATTCTCTACAACTCATGAATCATCTGTGTGCCATACTGTATTAGTTTCTTTCTCACTCCTGGTTTACTAGCCCAAAATTACTGTGTAAGGCTTCTGAAACAAAAAAAGCTGCTCAGTTCTACTGTTGAGGGTAATAAAAGCTGTTACATTACCATTTGATCATACTAACAAAGCCGAAGATTTCAGAGTCCTAATCAGAAAACACTTACCCTTTACAACATCCTCACTGAACTGACAAGCCAGTACCCTTCTTATACTAATATCAGATACTTCAGGTATTACCCCTCTGCTTCTTTCAGAGTCAGGGCACACAACCACTGCCAGCAGAAGAACTGCCTAGAACCTAGAACTTACCACAAGTACAGTATGCATAAACACAATCCTGTTCTATCGCACATTCAATATAGGTAACAAAATAGAAAAATGGCTCAAACGAGTGAGTATTAGCAGGCAAAGGCAATCTGTAACAGAATTTGGGAACTCAGCATACCATTTACCACTGTAATACAAGCAACGCTTTCCATTCCACAGTCAGCCGAGCCATCCTGTAGTACTTTGCCATAAAGATCTAAACTAAACGGGTATTAAAAAAATCCAATAAAACTGGAGAGTGCTCACAAACAGATATTGCTTAACTAAGGCACTGAAAGGTCGAGAACTGGACTAATCCTCAAGTCTGCAGTAAACACCACCTTCCTGAGTGAAGATGCAGACAGACATCTTCCCAGAATCATGTCCAATGAATAAAACTTAGCTACTGCTTACGCACGAAGGTTTTTGAGTACGACATGATTCGAGTTGTGCTAGTTAGTGAGAATTTACATTTGCTTCAGAAGGCCTATAGAAGCTCATTAACAATGCAAAGTGTTTGATTGTCTGCATTATTAATTCAGCTCTACAACACAGAGAAAAAGAAGTCTTTCATGAACCAGTGGAAGTAATCCATGTGTATATCAGCATCACCAAGGATCTTCTTCCACCTACAAGGAGCAAAAATAAGAGTGGAATTCAGTGCGTAAGTGTTGACTGCGCTAAAACGTATTTGAAAGTTTTGAAGACTCAGTTTTATGTAGAATAGAATTTCTCTGTACTTCAATATCACGACAGATTCAAAAGCAATTTTGTTTTGAAAATATTAAGCAATACTGCTGCAATTCCATTAATACAGCGTCACAAATGCTGACTAGTCTCACTGCTTTTAACTATTAGACCAAAACATCATCTGCCTTGCAGTTAATTCAGAGGACAGTGACTGTGCCCAGCCTGTAGAAGCTCTTCCTCCCAAGGAACTGCATTTAAGCTGAGGAGCAAGCGCAGTTAATCATACAGACACTGTACTCGACACTGTTAAGCAGGCGGATCCTCTCTTCAAACGTATCTCAAGATTTCGGACACTGTGCCCATAGGCGACTTAGGGAAAAGACATCCATGTGCATAAGAAACAGTCGGGTAATACACACTGCTAATAATGAGAAGTTCTACGGGTTCCAAATATAACGAGTTAGGCATGCAAGACTTCCGTACTTACTAAGGCTTGACATTGTAATATTCTTCTGGCGTCACAACCTTCAGTCCACCAAAGTAGTCCAGGACCCAAATATTGGTGATGTTGAATTTGGCAAAGAACCAATTGTGATCCTTAGGCCAACTTTCCATTTCGGGGTGGCGACTGAATAATGCTTTTTTTGCTAAGCCCGCTTCTGAATCATTCACCTAGACAATAACCAATGTGATATTACAGTAAAATACAGTCACATGAAGAAAAATTTTAGCTAAAAAAACACTGCTGAAAAGAGCACACCGCAGTCGGTTTAGCCATATCTTGTCCCAAAGGACTCATTACTGTGGCAGAATCCACCCATCTTCAGTGTGGTGGTGTACACTCTGTATACGAGACCAACAAAAACTCCAAGGCAGCTGACCAAACACATGCACACACAAATGCAAATAGGATGGTACAACAGGATCTACAAAAGAAGGGAAGCTGAAATGTGTGACAGCACTTAATATCCATGTGCAAATATCTGAAGGGTTACATCAGCAAGTTATATTGCTGGGAACAGTACCAGAGAAACCAGGAATATTTTTACTTGTTTAATTAATTAACATAAAAAATTGATGAGAAACTCGGGGCAGCAATTAAAGGATTGCCTGACTGTAATGTGCGAATATCGGAGGTGTGAAAACACCAAATATGAATTTAGACCATCATACAAGAGAGTAATGATGATCAGTCCTCATCCTCCATCGTTATCCTCAATAGTGGGATTAAGTTCTCCAATGAGTAACAGTTCTAAACTCCTTCTGTGGGACACCAAAGTACTGGCACACAAAAGGATCCTGCCCTGGCAGCAAGGCCGCCAGTTAACATGATGCACTTTTTCTGTCTCAAACACCTGTAACTTTATAGCTGAGGTTAATATTTAAAGTTTTGGAAACACATATGTCACACTGCATGGACCAAAGAATTCACCTGAGCAAAAAAAAAAGGCAAAACCTTCACACTTCATTCACACTAGAATTATCATAGGCTTCTTTGTTTCCAAACAGGTGTAGAGGAACGAGGGGGAGCTCCTTCATTACAGTAGTGTCCTCCCAAGTTCCCTGCTAAAGCCATGCCAACATAGCTCCTGCAAACATCAAGTGGTAGCTTCATTTTCCTCCTGCAAACTATGAGCGAGCCTTCTGGTATCCCAGCACATAACATCTCTTCACATACTTTCACACAGAAATTCTCAACCTTCGCTGCTCCATCCTCTCAACAATACAAGCTGCTGCACACAATCTGTGTCCAGTAGCAGCTCTCAGCTGCTTACCTTTACGATACTCCCACAGAAGATTATGTGGGCACAGAGGGGATTCTGGGGATCGTATCTGTGCTTCTTGCAGTAAGGAGTCTGTGCCAAAGACACAGTTAAGGAGGCATTTGAATTGATCTGAAATACAAGCAGCAAGATAAGAGGTTTACATACATTTTACAAGAAAAAGTGTTATACCCACCGTATTTGCAGCTCTTGGTACTTTATTCAGTTCAGGTTTACTGGTAAAAAGAACAAAGCTGTCATCACCTTTTCCCAGCTCTATCTGAAAGCCTACTCAGATGAGCTCTGAATCCAAAAGAAAGCCCAGTTTGGAAACATGCTGAAGTCTGTTAGCATAAAATGTAAACCTCACAAAGCAGTGCTGCTTCAAACCCTGAATTCAATATATAGTCTAGCTATTTCACATTCAAATGATAACATATTCCAATTTACATACATACAGGACAGCACAGAAGACCAGGGCATACAGTGAACTTCATTGTTAGTTCTGGTGAAAGGATAAAGGGTCACTGAAAAGGTAACTGAGTTCCACAACTGTTGATAAAATTACTTAAAACCAAACACGCGCACGCATCCCCCCCCCATCAAAACAAGCCTCCTGCCTGGCCCCAAACTGGTCAGCTCTTTTGAGGTTTAAAGTGCATTTTAAAAGTTAGGTTTAAGAAATACCGAGTAAGACACCTAACGTGAATAATTAAAGAATCTGTATCCGATTGTTTTTCTAAAACGAATTGGGTAAACACAGCTTGGTGCAAGTATTGGTGCAAAACAGGACTGCCTCCTGCAGAACATCACGTACCAAAGTTCATGATCTCCCAGCAAAGAAAGTTCATGTGCTTTGAGGAACTTCATTAAAAGAGCTCGTCTCAAAATAAAACCAAACCAAGCCCCTAAAAAAAAAAATCACCAAAACCACTACACCAAGTACCTCTGAACGGATGAAACACGAACAACCACCTGACAGACAGGAAGTTGCTTAACTACAAAAAAGCTGACTCATGATTATTCAGCACTATGCCCTACCAGACTTCGCACGTGACCATCAAGCGTTTCTGCCCTGTAACAGCAGAGTACGGATCTGCTGGGGGGACTTTCTGAAGGAAAATGTTCGTTAGCAGCTTATACCATGATTTTTACATTATTCTGAAACAGAAGGTTGTAGCTGGGGTGGGAAGGAGATAGCCCAATTTATCCCGTATAGTTTCTACAGCACTTAGATACATAATTAAACTATTTCAATATAACAACTAAAACCTGACAGGGAACAAGAAAAAGAGGTTTATGGTAAAACCAAGTCTGAAAAACTTCCATTACTTCAGCTTTGTGTTTATTTGTTTTACTGTAACAGTCACTAGAACAAAAGCATTTTCTAATACGGGAGGCATATGGCCGCTATTTCCCTAACTTCTTGGCCAACTCCCTCTTGACCACAGCCAAGCAAGAGACCAGAGGCACGCTGCCAGTCACGCACGCTCGGAGCCTCGGTGTGCCAGCCTGCTGCCTTTCGTGAGCGCCGGCCTTGACAGCAAGCTCCAGAGATTCAGGAGCTACTCCTTCCCCAGCTGGCGTATGGGCCCCATTGCCCAAGTCCTACACTGCCGAATTCCAGTCCTTTTGGTATTTTTTGGTGAAGTTTTCCCTGTTTAAATACTCTGTGGCTTCTCACTTCTTTGGTCGGCCCTTCTGGAAGCTTCTGCCACTTCCTCCGCTGGAGTGCCGCTCCTTCAGACCACCATCAGCAGAACGTCCAAGAGGAGCTGGTGGGTGTCACACAGCAGCACTGCACGTCCGAGGGCTAGCAAGTGTCCCTAGGGCTGACAACTAGGTGACATCCACGGAGCGGGCAGCTTGCCACCACCTCGCCTTCAGAACATGCTGGTGTAGGCCCCGACTCCTACGGGAGGAGACCCAACCACCACTCGCTGCGGAGGTGAAAAAGCGTAGGCGACCAAGAAAAACATCACGCTGCGCTCCGCATGGCCTGCGAGCTTTAAATCTCTGCCG